AAGGTTCCTTCCTGCTTAGACAGGCTAAGATCCTTCCTATCTGCTATTTTATGTTGTGACATCCTATGGTCTAAGACTCTTATCTGATATGATGTTTTGTGTTCTAACTTTTTATAACCTAAGGTGCCTGCTACTCTGACATTCTGGATTCTAAAGGCCCTTTCTGCTCTGGTATTCCATATTCTAAGGCTCCCTCTAACTAAAATTCTATGAGTCTGGATGGAATACTTTTACTTTCCAGTAAATTGATGATCCAGGGAGAAATATTCTACTTTTTTTTCCCAATGTAATTTTTAAAAATACAAAATCTCTCTCTCACCACGACCTTTCAAAGACAATAAAATAGTCCCTGGGGGACAGGAAAGTGCCCAGGTCAGAAGCTGCCACCATAAGCCTGCCCTGAATGGATCTGTTATTAATTCCACTCAGTGTCATCCAGTGTGACCGGACCTAAGTGCCAATAAGAGCAACAGTGGAGCTTTGTTTGTGCGCACATCTCACATCAGGGCAGTCTGGAATGTTTGCTTTCAATATGATGGACACGGTTCACATGCCCAGACACATAGCTTCCCAAGTAGCCCCAGGTGTTTTTACCTCACCTACATCTTCTACCTTCATTCTCTCGCCTGCCATCCCTTATAATAAAAAAATTTTTTTTTTTACAGAAGAGAAAAAAATTTCAACAAAACTCATCAATATATTGAAAGTAGCTGACTTGCTACACAAAATTTCATAGTCAGTTTTACTTATTTCATGGTTAATAAAGGGCTAGGTGCCCTTGAAAACTTTGCCTGGGGACCCAGACCTTATACCTACAATATTGTTAACACCCCAAGCAAGGTAGAGTGAAATCAGATTGGGGCGATAGGGCCTTGCTTTTGAATCCTGCCTTCCTATTTTTGACTTGTGTGTTCCTGGGCAAGTTACTTCTCATTCTGGTCTCAGTTTCCTCTGCTGCAAAATGAGAGGATTGGAGGAGATCATTTTGAAGGTCCCTTTTAATTCTAAATCCTAGGATCCATTGTTACCAAAACACACAGGAGGAAGGGGTGCCAGGCTGTGTGAACTCACATCCAGGCTCTATTCTGGCAAAGTCCCACACGGTTTCTCTCTTCAGGGGAAAGAAGATAACCTTCGACCCACCCTTCTCACCCCCTGGGTGACCCAAGCTCTTCTTTCCCTGAGAGAACACCCAGGTCAGCAGACTCTAAGGAACTGTGGGCATGTTATCAAGCCTGGTTTAAAGAATCAAGCAGGGGTTACAGTGGGGAGGAAGGGGGAGGAGTGGTGGCTCCCTGTGTGGTATGCGGATGTGACTGGTACAATCAATGGTAACCATAAAACTAATCTGTCCATCTCTTCACAGCTTAGCTCTCTTCCTTCCTCACTGCTCAGCCAAACCTAAGCTGGGAGGGTGGCTCTGGGAACAGAGATACAAAGCCATTCCATTTCAACATCCACTCTTCCTTGACCTATACATACTGACCATACCTCACTGGCCAATGCGTGTGAACTTGGGACTCAGAGCATCATAGGATTTGGCCCAAAGGGTCTTAACCTTTGTTGTGTCATGGACCCAACTGGGGACAGATGAAGCCTAAGGACTCCTTCAGAAGAATGTTTTTAAATGCTTAGAACTAAATTGCAAAAGAAAACAATTATATTGAAAGCCAATCCCTGCCCTCAAGGAGCTTACAGTCTAAGGAGGAAAATACACAAGAAGAAGATAGCCAACAAAAACAACATTCACAGATCCCAGGTTAAGAACCCCTCATTTAGAGTTGGAAGAAACCATAGTGTCCATCTGGTCCAACTGCTTCCTCTTCAGAGAGGAGGAAACTGAGACCTAGAAGGAGGAAGCGACTTGTCCGGGTCACACAGTACTCAATTAATCAACAATCATTCATTAAGTGATCGCTATGTGCCAGCTGTGCTAAATGCTGAGACAGGGCACACAGAACTGAGTTCATAGCTTGGTCCTGATTCTAGCTATGAGATCCAGGGTCAAGGGCCAGTCCCCCCAGTCTCCCTGAGCTTCAGTTTCCTCCTTCATGGGGATTCACTTCTGTGAGTATGGAGGCATGAGATGGAGTGTCAACTCTGAGGAAGAGCTGGCTGCAGAGGTAGGTGGGAGCCTGACTGGGGTGGGCCTTACATGCCAGGCTGAGAAGTCTATTCTATCCAGAGATAAGCTTTTTGAGCAGCAGGCCTAGGAATCAGAGCCCACTGAACCAGCCCCATCCCCATGGACCACCCTCGGGCACCCAAATCCTTTACTTTCCTTTCCTGGGCACAGGCCTAGTCTATTCACCAACCTCTCCTCTCTGCCCCTAGCCCCCCACCCAGATGTCGGAGAAGTCAAAGTCCTGAATTTAGAGATGGAAGGGAATGCCTAGGCTGACCCCCTGATTTTACAGATGAGAAAACTTGAGGCCAAGGAGAAGCTAAATGTCGAGTAAAGATCAGCTAGGTAATTAAGTTGTACGGCTGGGACTTGAACCCTGGTCCTCTGACTCTTCATCCAGTGGTCTTTCTATAATATCAAAGTGCTCAGAAGAAGCTATGTGACATGGTGGATAGAGTGATGGACTTTGGAGGAAGACTTGAATTCAAATCTTGCCCCAGACCCTGGTCAAGTCACTTAACCTGTGTCTTCCTCAGTTTCCTCAACTGTAAAATGGGGGCATTAGTAATAGCACCTAGGTCCCGGGGTTGTTGTGAGGATCGAATGAGACACAATTTGTAAAGTGCTTGGCACTGTGGCACACAGTCAGCTCATTTCCTCCTTCTTCGTTCCTCATTGTTGATCCTGGATCCAACTCCCTTCCTATGAACGAACACCCCTGTTTGGGTCTCTTCCATCCCAGCTCACTGCTTGGCAATTGTGCAGTTGGTCCTGAGTTGGCCATCTGTGGGCTCATGGCTCAGTGTTCTACTGCATTAACTCCTTTTGATCCCAGAACACTTGGGTATGTGGAAGCTGGGACCTGCCGTGGGTTGCTCAAGGGCCCCTTTGGGTGTATGTGAGAGGAAGGACAGAGGAAGAATTCGCCTAAAGAAACGTCAAGGGGGAAAGGACAGGTGAGCCTCAGCCTTGGACCACAGGGTTGGGGCTGGAGGTAGTATAGGCAAACCAGCTGGGGTTGTGGGGTGATGGTGGGGGAAAGCATCAAATCCTGGACCTGGGGCTTTTAATGTAAGTTACAGCATATGTGAATGAGTGTGCGAGAAGGAGTGGGGGGGGGCAAAAAAGAGATGGAGGGGAGACAGTAAGAGTGAGAGAGAATGAAAGAGAATGACAGAGAGAAAGAGAGAGGAAGGAAGAGAGAGAAAGAGGGAAGAAGAGAGAGAAAGGGAGAGAGGGAGAAGAAGAAAAAGAGAGAAAGAAGAAGAAAGACAGAAAATGGGAGGGAGAGGAAGAGAGAGAAAGGGGGAGAGGGAGACGGGGGAGAGGGAGAGAAAGAGGGAGGAGGTAGGGAGGGAGGGGGGAGGGGGGAGAGGGGGAGAGAGGGAGAGAGAGAGAGAGAGAGAGATTGAGAGATTAAATTGTATGTCATTATCAGAGAAAATGCCCCAGTGATGATGATTCCAGACACTGAAGACCAAAATCAGAAAAAGGAAAAAAAAAAGTTTTGTTGTACAAAACAAATGCAAGGCACAGTAATTTGTATGTGAACTACCTACCATGAGTCATTACCACCTAGCACAGTAACAAACTGGGCAGAGCATTCAAGGTGTATCCTATTAACTGTGTTCTACGTTTTACTTGGCAATAGTCAATCAACACATATCAAGCACCTACTATGCACCAGGCACTGTGCTAAGTGCTGAGGTACAAATGCAGAAAGGGAAAGATAGTGCCTGCCCTCAAGGAGCTTACAATCTAAGAAAGAAGACAACTCCCAAGAGAAAGATGAAAAGCAGGAGGTGGAGGGAGAAGGCAGAGAAGGACCCAAGTAGTCCAGCCAGGTGAGAAAAGGTATGTGGGCTGGGTTTTCTCCTTAATGGACCAGATCTCCAATCAGGAAAGCAAAGGCTGGTGATGAGATGGAGATTTTGATTTCATTGCAACACTGAACAATGATTCTCTATGCCTTTACACTGTGTAGATCCAATAGTATAGTCATCTACTTATAACTTAGAGAATCACCGAATCTTAGATCAGGAAGGGAGTATCCACTTGCACCCCCTTATTTATACAGGATAACACTGAGGCTCAGAGATACTGATACATTCAGGGTTGATCACACAGCAAGTGAGTGGGAAAAGCACTCAAACCCAGGTCTGCTGCCTGTCACTCCTGGGGCCTTCCCACTATACTCCACTTTCTGGTGAGGCAGATTCAGGTTCGAGGTCAGGAATAACTCCCTAACAATTAAGGTGGTTCAAAAGTGAAAGGGGCCACCCCAAAAAGTGGTGGGTTCCCCCTAGCTAGAGACACTTAAAGGTTAGATGATTATGTGCAAAACTTTTTTCTTTTTAAATATGAGAGGAAACAATTTGTCAGGATTCCCAAACTCAGAAGCGAACACCAGTTTTCCCAGGACTCCCCAATACCCCCTCTTTTACTGGGAGTGAAGGCCCACTTTCCTTACTTTCTATGTAAACTCAAGCCAAAGGGAAGCCCTTTTCATTGCTTACTAAGTGCCAGACACTTTACTAAGTGCTTAACAATTATTATCTCATTTTATCTTCACCACAACTCTGGTAGGTAGGTGCTATTAGTATATTCATTTTATAGAACTGAGGCAGACAGAGGTTAAGGGATCTGCCCAGGGTCATACAACTAGTAAGTGTCTAAGGCCAGATTTAAACTCAAGTCCTCCTGACTCCAGACCCTGTGCTCTATCCACTGTCCCACCTAACTGCCTCCACTAGGTGCTTTATAAATGCTAGTTGACTTGAGGTCAATAGTGCCCAGATTCTTATGCCTTTTTATAATTTGACCCCTCCCCTTTGTCCTAACTTTCCCTTCTCCCCCGATGCTAGGAGGGACTCACCCAAGAGATGCTTCATGATGGCTTGGTTGTGTTCCCAGAGGTTGTTAAAGGTCCCCCATCGGGAGTGGCCATCAGGCACGGGATTGGCCTTTATCCAGCCCCCACAGGCATAGCTGAAGAAGTCTTGGCAGGGGTCTACTGTTTGGTCCAAGGAGCTCAGGATGGAACTGGTCACTGAGATGCAAGCTTCACTCAGGCACAGAGCGGGGGGTCCTAGCAGGAAGAGCGACATGAGGTCAGTGAGAGGCTGTGGAGGATGCTGGTGGGTAATCAACAGATCAATAAATAAACATTTATTAAGTACCTATTATGTGCTAGGCATTGTCCTAAGCACTGGGCATACTTTCATTTGACAAATGATTATTAATATGGGTATTAATCTACTATATGGTTGAAATGTAAACTCATAAAAGGCAGGGCCTCTTCCATTGTAGTTCACTGTCATCAGTGTTGTTGTTTTTTTTTTTTTGGCTAGGCAATGGGGTTGAGTGACTTGCCCAAGGTCACACAGCTAGTGTTATATGTCTGAGGCCAGATTTGAACTCAGGTCCTCCTGAATCCAGGGCCGGTGCTCTATCCACTATACCACCTAGCTGCCCCCCATCAATGAATACTTATAAATGTTTATCATCAAACTGATTATAAGCAGAGAACTGTTCTGGGTACTAGAGGAGATATACAATTGAGAGATGTGGAACCTGCCCTAAGAAAACTTTATTTTTCTACTACAACTGTTGCTGATACTGCTTCTGCCACCTACTACTACTACTATTGCTGCTGCTGCTACTACTACTAACTACTATTAATACTGCTGCTGCTGCTATTACTACTGCTGATGCTTCTACTACTACTGCTGCTTCTACTACTATTACTACTACTACTACTACTACCACTACTACTACTACTACTACTACTACTTACTACTTTCTTATCAATGAATGATCTCCTTGAGGTATAAGCCTATTACTGGAATCTCTAGGTCAAAGATTATGAGCATTTTGGTCACTTTATTTTCATAATGCCAAATGGTTGTAGTGATTCACAGCTCCACCAACAATGTACCAGTATACTTATTTTCCCATAATCCCTTCAACATTGACTTTTCCCATATTTTGTCATCTTGCTCAATTTGTTGGGTATGAGGTAAAACCTCAAGGTTTTTTTATTTGCATTTCTCTTACTGCTAGAGATCTGAAGCATTCCTTCATGTGATTATTAATAGTTTACAATTTTGAGAACAGTTTGCTCATATCCTTTGACTACTTATCTATTAAGGATTGGTTTTTGTGTACACACACACACACACACACACACACACACACACACACAATAGTTGTTCACATAAGGTGTCCCAAAAGTCTTAGTGTCACTCTAGACTTTAATGACTTAAAATGGCATTAAGATTTTTGAGAAAACCCCGTATATTTTGGATATCAAACTCTCATCAGACATATTTGATACAAAGATGCTTTTCCTATTCAATCATTCCCTTTTTATCCTAGATGCATTCATTTTGTGTGTGCAGCAGTTTTATGCCATCAAAGATATCAATTTTATCTTTAGTAATGGCCCTCTTCCATCCCTTGTTTAGTTAAGAATATGGCTCCTACCCATATCTGTGTCAGTGACTTTCAACCAACTGTTTTTTTTGTGGGGTGGGGTATGATCTTTAATATTAAGGTCACATATCCATTTTAAAGCTATTATTGAATATAGACAATTATTTCTTAATTGCCAAATCTAATGGCCTTGTCTCAATCCTCACCCTTCTTGACCTCTCTGCAGCCTCTGACAATGTTTATCACCCTTTCCTTGTATATATTCTCTGCTCTTTAGGCTAGGTATATATTCTCTGCTCTCTGCTCTTTCCAAGTTCTCTTCCTACCAGTATGGCCAACCACTCTTGCTCTTTTGCTAGATCACACACTCTCTATCAATTGGGTCCCCCAAGAATATGTTCTGGGCCCTCCTTTCTTCCTTCTCTGCTATCTCACATAGTGACTACATCAGCTCCCATGGATTCAATGAGGTTAAAACAACTTGTCCAGGTTCACACAGTTAAATAAGTGTCAGAGGTAAGATCTGAACACAGGTCTTCCTGACTCTAAGTCCAGTACTCAATCCAGTAAACTACACTGCTTCTTAATATGATACAAACACAGATCACTATGATACACAGTACTACATGGGCAGCAAGGTGACACAGTAGACAAGAGTCAGGAAGACCTGAGTTCAAATCCTGCCTTTGACATCTACTAGCTGTTTCCCTGGGCAAACTGCTTCACCTCTGTCTGCCTCAGTTTACTCATCTATAAAATGAGGATGATAATAGAACCTACATCCCAGGGTTGTTGTGAGAATCAAATTAGATCACCTCCGTAAAGCACTTTGCAAATCTTAAAGTGCTTTATAAATGCTACTATAATTAGCTATTAAGAAAAGTACATTAGAAAGTCACAAAACCATTTTGAAGGCTGAGGAGAAATCTCTTATTGATTGCAGGAATGAATAAAGACTTGAGTTTTTTTTTTGTTTTGTTTTTTGGGGTTTTTTTGGCTAGGCATGGGGTTAAGTGACTTGCTCAGGGTCAAACAGCTAGTGAGTGTTATGTGTCTGAGGCCGGATTCGAACTCAGGTCTTCCTGACTTCAGGGCCAGTACTCTATCCACTGCACCCAAGACTTGGGTTTTATAGAATGGATAGGAACTTAACAGATGAAAAGGAACAGAAACGGACTCTGGACATTTTTTGCATAGGGGATAGAAGGAACAAAGCCATGGAGGCATATAGATACATGGTAGGCAGCTAGGTGGTGCAGGAGATAAAGTGTTGGACTTGGAATAGGAAAGATCTGAGTTCAAATCTTGTCTGTAAGTCAACAAGCATTTATTATACAGCTACTATATTCCAGGCATTCTGCTAAGTGCCAGGGATACAAAGAAAGGCAAAAGACAGTTTCCTCATCTGTAAAATGAAAATAATAGCCTGTTACCTCAAAGAATTGTTGGGAGATAGGAATACTCTGGCTAAATAATAAGAATTAATCAATATTTATTGAATTAAATTGATCTGTCAGTGTCTATTGGATATCTGCTACATGCCCAGCACTCTTACCCAAAAGGGTATATGTAGTTGAAAGTGTTACTGTGCTTAGGAGCCAGCAGACTTAGGTCTGTACACTGGCTTTCCTATTTTTTTTTTATTGCTTATATAACCCAAGTCACTTTTCCTTTCTGAGTCCTGTTTTCACCTCTGTAGAAATGAGGGGCTAAAGTCCTTGCCCGCTCTAAATCCAATGAAATTTCAGACCTCCCCCTTCCCCACCCTCAAAGGGAATCTAATCTGATCAGCTGGCTTTATCCAGGAAAGCTGATGGGCATAGGCAGTAAACCTTTATCTCCTGCTTATTCAGGCAACTGTTGCTATAATACTTCAGTTCTACTGCATGCTGGGCCAGGGTCTTATATGGTTTCATGGGTAAATCTAAGTTCACTACTTGGGAGAAGCTGTCTAGTGTGTTGCAGACAGCAACTTAGAAAGGAGAGATAGCCTGGTCAAAGTTGGAGGCTTAGAGCCCAAGCAGTCTGTCTGTCTGTCTGTCTGTCTTATTGCCTTGGCCCTGAGCATGACGCCCTTCTACCACATATAATGTACAGGACTACCATGCTAGCATATCGGTGCCTGAACTAAAATTGGCTGTTTTGGGGTTTGGAATCAGGAGAACTTAGGTTCAAATCCTACCTCTGACACACTGGCTATCATTTAACCTCTGTTCCTCAGTTTTCTGAGAACATTAAATGACTCCCTATTCAGTCCCATCCAACTTTAAATGTATAATCTTTTTTTCTTTCCTTCGTTTTTCCCCTTAAGAATTCAGAGCAGTGAGTCATTGATGTTGACATAATGTCAATCTGAGGACCTAGTAAAGGAACTGTAGAGAAGACTCAGGAGAGAGAGGACAGCTATCGTCAAATATTTTATGAGCTATCACATGGAAAAGGAATCAGGCTTGTCCGTTTGCCCCAGAGGACAGATCAGGGAGCAGTAAGTGGGAGCTGGAAAGGCAGATTTAGGCCTGATGTGAGGAAAAGTTTCTAACAATTGGAGATGACCAAAAGTAGAGTTGGGTGGCTCAGGAGGTAGTTTCCCCCACCCCCAACCAACGGAGGTCCTCAAGACTGGACGAGCACTTATGGGGGAAGATGTGGAGAGGTTTCTTGAGAGGCATCATGGAATAACAGATAAAGTACTAGATTTGGAGTCAGAAAAGATTGGATGCAAACATCATCTTTGCCATGTTGTTAACTGTTCACATATCTGGTTCCTCCAAGACTACACGCTCCGAGACAGTGGGGACTTTGATGTATTTTTCTTTAGGTATGTGACCAGGAGCAAATCACATAACCTCCCCAAACCTCAGTTTCTCCACCTGTAAAATGGGGATCCAGGCATTGTAGTACAACTGAAGAGGTGTTGATTTTTGAGGCTGATGGACTGGATTCAAATCGTGCCCTTTCTACTTACTTCTTGCGCAACCTTAGGCAAGTTCTTTAACTTCACCTGTCCTCTAAAATCACTTTCGGCTCTAAATCTTTGATCCTATAATAATCCTAAATGGTGGCAAGATTGATTTAAGTGTAATATTGGAAATAACTTCCTAACAATTAGAGGTATGTGCTCTACATTAAAATGGTAAGTTCCTTGATCTGTGGTGAGTTCCCCATCACTAGAGGTATTCAAGGACAGGACGGATGACCACTTGTCAGGGAGGTTACGAAGGGTTCAGATTTGACTCGATGAGATCCCTTGTAACTCACATCTTGTTAACTGCTCGCAGATGCTGGCTGTTGTGCTTGGAAGTGGCACAGGGCGGAGGCAACAACTCTTTGACTAATAAGGACTCTTGACCTCTTGAAGAGGCCTCTGAGAATGAAAAGGAGGGTGTGGGTTGGCAGGTGGTGGTCTCATCTCCCTCTGTAACCACAGTGCCAGCCAGGACTCCAGAAGGTGACCTGTGAGTTTATTGATGTCTGAATACAAATAAGAGGCATTTCCAGGCAGAAAATACCCCTATCTCAGGAATTTAGCCTTTGATTCTAAGGACCAGGCTTGGCTTGGGAATAATACGAACAGCTCCCATTACTAGAATGCTTTTACAAAGCGTTTTCCTCAAAACATCCCTTGGAGGGGGATGGGGGATAGTGCAGGGTTTTTTAATCTCCCTTTTATGGATGAGGGTCAGAAGGGAAGTGGCTTGCCCAAGGCCACACGACTAGGGTGATGCAGAGCCAAGTACTTCACTGCACTGTGGTGTGTACACTCTCTCCCTCTCTCTCTCTCTCTCTCTCTCTCTCTCTCTCTCTCTCTCCCCTTTCTTCTTTTCCCCCCTCTCTCTCCCCTCTTTTTTCTCTCTCTCCTCTTCTCTGCCTGTCTCCTCTTTCTCTCCCTTC